TATATAAGCGCGCGATTTTTATGCCCTGTATTCCCAGACGAAGGCCGGTCCCACGGTCGAAACGTCGGACTAAACTGTGCTGAAACGTTCGTTGTGTGTGAATTACTCCTTTTCTATACTATCAGAGCCTGCGTGATACTTCCTATAATCCCCTATATATATATATATATATATATATATATATATATATATATATATATATATATATATATATATATATATATATATATATATATATATATATATATATATATATATATGCAAGAAAGAGACGACGAAACTTTCGTGGAAGCGTCTTTACTGGTCGTTTTCAGCTTGTGGACCAGCCTTCGTCAGAGTAATGTGACAAGAGTTCATACAACGCTTTAAAAGCTCCTTTCAATAATAGGTCAGCGCCATCTGCTCATCTGCTTTGGTTAGTATTACAATGCGCATCATAAAATGTCAAGTGCTTCAGAAAAAAAGAAAAACAGACAAAAAAATATGAAAACCAGAAGGGTACATACATACTAAAGACATAGTTTAAGATTCCCTTACACGTACTGTGACGTGATACCATGCTTATACGTAGTTAAGAGATGTAGAAGTGCAGTGTGTAATGACATTCAAATGTAGTAGGCCCGTGTGCTCAGATTTGGGTGCACGTTAAAGAACCCCAGGTGGTCGAAATTTCCGGAGCCCTCCACTACGGCGTCTCTCATAATCAAATAGTGGTTTTGGGACGTTAAACCCCACAAATCAAATCAAATCAAATCAGTGTGTAATGACATTGCTTGGCAGCATAAGTACAATCTTAGTGATATGTGAACGTATAATGGAAGCCACTGTGAAATGATTGAAGATAAATAAAAAAATAAAAATAAAAAGGGCAGACATAGAAGGCGTGATTTAGGTAGTACAATTTGAAACCAGTGCATCATCGCTCTTATTCTAGTGAAAGACAGGTCAGTTTTCCTTTCTTTTTGTTGATTCCAGCTAAAACAGTGTTAAATTTATGAATGAGATATGATTCGCGCAGTTCACGATCATGGCTGGTGCAGAATCCCGATTCTAGTATCGTGACTTTGAGGTCACTAAATGAGTGGCCGGGCATGTTCACATGCTTTGATAATGGAAGGTTTGGTTGAGTTTTAGCATGCGATCTGTGATTGTTGAAACGTATTCTGAATGGGGTTTCAGTGTGGCCAATGTATTGCATATGGCAGGAGCCACACTCAAGCAAATACACTACATTGGATGAATCACAATTAAAGCTTCCCCTAATTGTGAAAATGAATTGGTTAGATGTGCTGGTGGCTGTTAATGACGGTTCTATATGAGGACAAACTTAACAACGGGGTTTGTTGCAGCGGCTACAACCAGTACGGTTAGTGGTAGGAATTTTAGATGACGTCAGGATGTCACATATGTTTTTTGAGCGCTTATACACTACTCGAGGGGGCTCAGGAAAGACCGCTTTTAGTCTGTCACTTTGGGTGAGAATGTTGTAATGGTCACGCAGTATACCTTGAACTTTGGGGATGGACGCTGAGTGTGTTAGTACTAAATTGGCTGACTGAAGCTCGTTGCTTTTTATGCTACCTTTTAAGCAGTCCATTCGATTGCGTCCTCTGGCTCGGTGTATCGCGTCGTCAAAAATTTTTCCGGATATTTTCGCTTAAGAAGCTTCTTTTTCAGATCACGGAAACGGCGTTTGGTCATCTGACAGTGACGCCACTGGTTTTGCCTATTTACTCATGGGCTTGGCAGGCCAATCAACACGTAACATTCGTGTGTTCCCGCCTAAGCCGCCCTGTTGCGGTATAAAATAAAAAATAAAATACAATCTTTATGCTCTGCCAGCTACAAAAACATTGTTGAATTATCATATACGTATTGAAAACAATAAAAAAACACAATATTTGCGGTGTGGTGCGCCCTCCATTAGGGGAGACTTGTGCACAACTTTTTAGGATTGAAGTTCCTTAGACTCACTTGATGTCCGTTGACGCCATCGTTGTCGTAGCCTCCCGTCGGACCGAAACACAGGTGATACATAAACCGTACACAGAGCGTTCGTAGCACGGATATAATTTAAAAATAGACCCGGCCACTCTGTCTGTCCAGCTGTCCACCCGACTGTCCATGAATCCATCCGCCGTCCATCCGTCCATCCCTTTGCCCGTCCTTTATATCAGTCAGCGACGTCAACATACACATTATGGGCCTTAGGAACTATAGCATCACTCCATCATCAGCATTCACTTCGTGGATCAGCTGCTAATTTTTAAAATTCGTTTTTGCTCTAATTTCAGTGTCCAATACTTCACTAACTCCTCCACGCATGCTACAGAAGGCAGTCGAAAAAAAATGTTTGCGGGCCCTTTAGGGAAAAAAATAGGCCACGTGTAGTGCTGAACGGAACTACCGAGGTACGCCCACAAAGCGTGGCGGAAAAGTAACGACCGCTCCAAGAAGGGCAAAAGGAAGAGACCGATCGTTGGAACGTATACGGTGCAGGGAATAACTCCATCGACAAGCGAGAAAAACAAAGTGCCTGCTCTTCCCAAATGGTTTCTGTGGGCTGCTTCTCGCGCTTGATTTGCATTCGTCTGTACTGAAGTATAGCGCGCTCGACCAGGGGCTGTGCAGCGTAGTCGAACAGTACTTTCTCTCTTTTTTTCCGCATCAGCTACGGCGAGAGAGAGAGAGAGATCAGGTAACTTAATGATTGCCTCGCTAAATAAAATACAGGCGGGGCCAATTGGTGAAGGTGGAGGTGTTGGGATGTGGTCCGATTAAAACGAGCTCTGCGCTGTCTGTTAGTGCAGCATCGGTGCCCGCTGGCCGGTCGAGCAGCAAAAGCGTGCTGCATGGCAGTCGAGTGCTATACACAGGAGGCCTGTTTCTTTTCATGCAGCCTCGTAATAAATGTTTCGGCTTGATGAATGCTTTCGCACTGGCTTTAAGATCATACGTATTCCATCGCGTGTGCAGTTGAGCGCGTAGTCCTACGCAGCAACAGTAGGCAGAGGCAAACTTTCCTCGTTTGAGAAAGCGGCTTGTGCGCATCAACTCGGCGATGCCTCTGCGTAACGGCGCGGCGCTTAAACAAACGTAACTGGTTGCTCCGCTGCAATTCTGTAAAGCGTCCAAGCAGCGTATATACACGAGATGGGTCACGCAGCTGGAAGTTCATTCGTGTGCGATTGTAAAGACAAGGTTTTCCATTGCCGAGCCAGGACCACCGTACGCTGTCGCATTAATCTATATGTGGACGAAAATAAAAGGGGAAGCGAGGACAGCTCGTGACTGCTCTGGTTGCTCGGTTGGGTCATAGGGTGGAAACAATGCAGGAAAATTGTTCTCGTTTCCGGTGCTCATGGAAAACCCTAATGAATGCGATTACGGCACCGATAAGCTTGATGCAAAAAATGTTTGCGCGCTGTATTTAGATCGCCGACTTCCATTGGTGTTGTTTCACGGACAAGCAAATTGTTTCTTCCGGTTGTAATTTTGAAGTCTTCGAAAAAAATCGTCGTATTGCGTTGTTAGTCAGCGTTTCTCACGAGCCACTATGTCGGCTCTGACGTCTGGAAAGGTTAATAACCACGTGCGAATATTTTTTGTGTGTTCGAAGGGCAACACAAAAGTAAGAAAATCATGCATACGTGTTTTTTTTTTTGTGGTAACTATCTCGATTGTTTGTCTCTATAGTGCTTGGGCCGAGCCACAGCTGCAGTGTTGCTTTTAACAAATATAGGACCACTACGCGATGTACAGATTCCCTTCGCTTATGCTACTCAGCTCTCCACCAACCGGCAGTTGTAACAAAGAGGGGTTCAGATTACTGAAGAAGAGTATAAAATAGAATCGTTGCTTTGTGACTGTATTGATCGATTCGCACCTTTTTTTTTCATAGCAGGTTATTCTTCCACTGTTATCGTAGTGAAACACAACGGCAACCAGTAGAAAACTTGCTTTTTTTTTCGCTACCCGATTTTATATTCTTCTTGGTCTGGCTGACAATCAGCTTTTATTTAAGGTCAGAAGTGGTTATTTTGATTGACATTACTATAGTAAAACGAATACGTGGCACTATTGTAAGCTACTGCAATGGTAAGTTCGCTAATAGAGCGAGTACAGTATACATTTCTAACGAATGTGCCGGCAAAGCTTTAACAGGTGATCTTCGATCATCAAATTCCCTTAAATTGCTTGTGATACCGTTATCGTTCGCCTTGCATTCCATAACCATCGCAGTGCTTTTATATCTGGCGTATAGGACAAGCCCGTATTCGTATATCTTACGGTATAGGACCAAATTGTACGTTAAAAACACAAATATATCATGTTATAAATTAGGAAGGCATTTAGCATAAATTTGCCCCGCCGTGGAGGTCTATGGCTAAGGCACTCGACTGCTGAGCCGCAGGTCGTGGGATCAAATCCTGGCTGCGGCGGCTGCATTTCCGATGGAGGCGGAAATTCTGTAGGCCCGTGTGCTCAGATTTGGGTGCACGTTAAAGAACACCAGGTGGTCAAAATTTCTGGAGCCCTCCACTACAGCGTCTCTCATTGGTGGTTTTGGGACGTTAAACTCCACATAACAAACCATCCAATCAAATATGGCATAAATTTATCGGTTGTATGATATAAGGCAAAACATTTTTTTTTGTGCGTAGCTATATAGACTCCTGATGTAGCATCTTCTGCCATGCAGACAGAACTATTGAAAACATGCTTTACGCTTGGCATGTTTGAGCTTCAAACAATTTTCGATGTACAATGTTTTCTTACTGGCTACACTGAAGCTCACTCAGTCTTAGTGTTAATTTTTACGCCCTCGTAAGCTACAATTTAGAGCAGCACAACGTTGTCTCCTTGCCTTGAATACGTTGATATATTGTGACCAATTTATTTCCTCTGTCGTTGTTCTTTCACGCGTCTCATTTTTTGTTCAAATTGTGCAAGTGATTTCGCTGTGGTAAATCAATCTTGTTTCTTCTTTTTGTGTGCAGCCGAGATCATCGAGCACGAATCGAGCCCGCGAGCGGCACTCCAGTAATGGGGACACACCGGACGCCAGTCTGGATCGCTCGGATCGACGGTCTCGCAGTTCGAGAGGCTACTACCGTGGTCCCCGCAAGGCGGCAGCTCTAGCAGCTGCTGAGGACCTGGACTCTTCGGGCACACTGCTTTACCGACACCGCAGCGCGTCTCCGGCGGCGCGCCGCAACAACCACAGCCAGAACAACGGGTCGCGCCATGGCGGCGCTCAGTCAGCGGCCACCAACCGACGCCTTCCTTCAACGGCCGAGATCAGAACACCGCCACTGTCTCGCCGTGCTTACCGCCATCAGAGAGCCTTGCCACCACTTCCTTTGGAGAGGCTGAACAACGGAGGCCTTCGGCAGGACGACCAGAGGTACAGACCACCCAACTTCACCAACAATGCCCTCGAGAAGGCCAGCGCAGTTGATGAACTGCCACCTAGCGGTAAGCCGCAACAGCCATCCGACTACACTAACAACAGGTTACCGAGACCAGGACCAGTACCTTTGGCCACATTTGAAGCTCGCCGAAGTAGCATCGCGGGAACAACCTTGGACATTGATAATGTGGCGACGTCCAGGATCCGAGCCGAGGCGCAGAGAAATGCACCGGCAGCCTTCTCCATGAAAAACCTTCAGCAGCAACCATCGGCGGCCGCTTTCCCTATGCGTGGAGGCGCGCACATCAGCGCTGACGACCTCAAGAACTTGCACAAGGCGGAGGAGAAAGTTGAACCGCGTCCTATCGCAGCCATTAAGAACCTGCAGTGTGGACCTATGGTAATCAGCAAGGTGCCTCCACAGCCGCAAGTAATCGAACCCCGAAGGACAACGACGACTACGACCTTTACGACGACGGACACAGTGACGCTGAAGAACATACAGAACCTGAGCTCAGTGGCTGATCTGGACAAAACGAAGCCGTCTCCACAGACTTTGAAGAACCTGCAGCCATCAACCAACACGACAACTGTGTCAATCAAGCAGACAAACGGCAAAATTGACGACGACATTAGCGGGAACACCAAGAAGATCGCGACGAACCTAATTCTGGAGGAGAAGATTGAGGCCCAGAGGAAAAGCGGAGCATCGTCACCGTCTGCCGCTGGCCCCATAAAAAAGATTGTCGAAGAGAAATCGGTGCAGTCGACGCTCGAGTCTACTGGCAAAATGGGGAATCTCAAGAGCACAGTGGACGTCAACATGGAGCTTGTCACGGAGGTGGGAAGCTCGAGGACTGTAACCAACATCACCACTTCGCTTCAGCACGCGCTCCCTAAGGCTGTTACTGCAGAGCCCTCAGGCCCGGACCCATGTAACAATAAAACATCGGCTGCTGCTGGTAAAACCATAATCAAGACATCTAAGCCAACTAAAATGAATGGAAACGGAGGCGGCTACACGCCCATGAGGGCCAAGCTAGCCGAAGCAAAGGCAGCCTTCTTCGCCGACTCTGCCAATAAAGGCAGCGCCGACGACAGTGGTTTCGTGTCCACCTCCCCGCAACCAGTTCCCGTGTAGGGGGCATTTCAACCGCACCAGCTTGCCAGTTAGGGACGAAAGAACTCGCTTGTCGGTAAAGCACCAGCGCACAAGTGGCACGTCTTCAGACATCTGCTGACCCTGAGCGGCGACAGACCGACGCCGAATTGTGCATGTACGTTAATCCTCCAGCAGCCGCAACAGACGCTTGCTTGTGACGTCTGGACGACCACTACGCGATGTGAGCAGAAGAGATGGATGGCCCGGATTGAAAATCGCATACCGTGCCACACAGA